TGGTTCGAAATTTAGGTTGGCATAAAATAGTGGTTGAATACTGAGCAGTTCCTGTATAAAACATGCTATAGTACGAGGGAGCACGAATATAGATTTGAAATATATACCATTCGATTCCTCTTGCCGGACTTAGTTCGAATATGTAATTCTTTTTTTCAAGGAAACAGAAACTCGCAGAACAAAAATTGAAACACCATAAAGGGGACATACGCTCTGCATCAAAAATGGTTGGCCACCTAGTTTTTCCAAAATATTTTTTTTCAACTCTAAGACGGCGTTTGTTCTGGGAGAAACGCCCTGTGGGAGAAACGCACTCTGTGGACATATACTAAATTACAGACATTTAAATGCCACATTTTTAAAAAAAAAGTTCGAACCCCCAGCCCAAATTGTTTTTATATTCTTGATTTTCAGATTCTTGATTAAAATTTAAAATAAAATTAATTTACATAATATACTCCATCCAATTTCAAACAAATACTAAAATCTCTTCTGTAAATATTTTCGAATTTTTCAATAAAATGAATTTCTTTTTTCTCGTTTGTCAAATTCTCGACTTTATATATTTTTTCTTTAATTCCTGAATTTACCCGGCCACACCAATAGTATTTTTTATTTCTTATAAATAATTGATGCTTTTTGTTTAAAGCCCCAAATTCAATAATTATTTCCACTGTTTTTTCTGTTGTATTTTCATTTGTTTTGTTTATTTCAATTTTCTTTACATTAATATCTCCAACTAAATTTTTAGGAAACGGAAACTCGAAAAAAACACGTTGATGTGTTTGAATATTTTCAAATGAGTAGGAAAAAAATAAAAAAATTAAATTGACAAAAAGTTTAATTTTTGTCGAAATCATTTTTTTCTAAAATAAAAAGTTTAAATAAGCAATAACTCTCATTTATTTATTAAAATGTCGGAAAACAAAAGGAAAATTTTCTAAAATAAAAAATTTTTTACAGGCAGTTATAAAAAAGACTCATATCTTGAAAAATTTGGCATTCTTTGCCTCTACATCTAATAGGAGTAAGGCAAATGAAGCTACAAAGGCCAATGCATTTTGAAGTTTTTTTTTAAAATTTTCTACTTTTTCGAGTGATTTGAAAGAAATATAAATATTTTTAATATAAATTTAAATATTATCTTAAAGACTATAAAATTTGAAGGCTAATTCGAAGTCAATTTATAAGGAAAGTTTTTTTAAACACCTAAGGCATGGCCGCCCTTTAAAAAAATTTATAAAGGGCATTTATTCTCGTGATTTTTTCTCTATATAGCCTTTTAAAAAATAATTTAAAAGGGCAATAATTAAATATTTTGTAGTTTGTTTAAAGCTTAATCGAATTTAAGAGAGGAATTGACATATGACAGTGAGAAAAGTCGAACTATTAAAGTGCATCTTAATTCATTGTAAAGAAATAAAATTTCGAAAGATGCGCCGCTTTTATAAAAAGTAAAACTAAGAATAAATCTCCGAGCTAACAATTGAACTAAAGATTTAAATTATATGAAGCATTCTTACAAGATAAAATAACTAAAGTACATTCTAATAATTTATTTCCTGTTTTAATAATTTATTGTTTGCTTTTTGGTTGTTCTTCATAAATAAATTAATTAAAAATATTGTGAAACATTATTTGACAAAATAATAATTTGAGGTCTTAACTTGGTTTTATTTTAATTTAGCACCTAAAAAATTTTTGCGAACATCAGCACAAATCCAAAAGGCACAAGTAACTCTCCCAAAGCTTCTAAACGGCCTCTACCCCTACTACTACTTCTACACCTACGGTGGAACTCTGTGAGATATGTCGAGGCTCGCCTCGACAGTTATTTTCAGTTATTTTCTAATTATTTTTTATTAGTAGGATCTCAATATGTTCAATATGTTCACGGCCCCGAGCGACCAACCGGACCCGAATTTCCAAGACTCAACATTTCAATTGTCATAATTTATTTTAATTTTATTTGCAGTTTTCGCTTTTAATATTTCCCATCAATATTAATGTTAATTGAAATCCGTAAACTTTGTTCTTTTTCTCCTTCTCCTTTTTGTTTGTAAAATGTTGTGAGAAAGAAGCGGTGTAATAAAGATAAAGGAACGCACTCTCCGATCGGGGAGAGAACCGCTCGAGGTAGAGGTTCCGTTTAGCCGCTATTACACCGCTCTGAAAAGTTTTAATTCCTTAACAAAAAGGGAAGGAAAAAAGAATAATAAAAAGGATTTCTTCTACATTAATATGACTCATTATTCTTTTTCATTTTAAAAAATAAATTTTCACTTAAACATTTTTTGTTAATAAATAATTTATTTATTTTATTAATTTAAATTGTTTTAACTCAAACTGGTAACGCCCAGTCTAAAAATATTAAAAATATAATTTTCAGTTTAGCCTAAATTCATTTCTTTGCTTAGGACTTTAAGATTTCTGGTGAATCTGCAATTGGTCGAACCAGCTCCGGACGAATCTAATTTTTCAAATAAACAACACATTTTTGGTTTTCGACAAGTGGCGAGCCTTGGAGCCAGAAATTTGTAAGTCAGTGAAGAAAAATTTGGTGAAATTTGAAATTTTTAATTAAATAAAAATTCTAAAAATTTTCTAAAATTAAATAAATTTTTTTCGAAAAAATTCTAAAATAAAATTAAAATTAAGAAAAAAGTTTAAAAATTTTTTTTATCAAAACCAGGAATACTACAGCGATCGTGCTGTTTGAAAATTGAAGAAGTAAAAGAAGACAACAAAAACAACTTGGTACAATCAAAAATGTATTAAAAATTTTTTTTATACAAAAAATAAAATTTCTGATATTTCAGAGATTCTCAACCAAAACTCTTGTTGGAAGTTGGTCAAAAAATTTTTGTTGGAAATTTTTGTTGGAAAGAATTTGTTGGAAAATTTTTGGATTCTAAAATTGCTGTGGTGGTAAAGGTACTAAAAAATAATTAAAGAAAAAAGTTAAAAATAAACTAAAAACTAAATAATTTTTTGGAAAAATTTTTTTGAAATTTTATTTAAATTTTAATTCTAAATTAATTTAAATCAAATTTTTTTTGGAAATTTTTTTTGAAAAAATTAAATTAAATTCTCGGCGTTCGTGCTGATTGATTATACAGGCTAAACCCTCAACATAAAAAGATGGACTGCACCATAACAATGATCCACATCTCTGTGGATTTATTAATGATCCACATAGAAACGCCAATACCCCCTCCCCTCGGAATAAATGCCACTCCTACCGATTTGCGGCGAGAGTTATACTGGGCCAAAAAGAAAAAAGAGAAATTGGTAGATGAAAATGAAAATATGAGGAATCAAATGTTTAATGCGTCTCAGCAAATTGCCCAATCTACGGGAAATGTTCATGAAACCCGTTCAGCAGCATTCAACAAACACGCAGCAGACTTCAGACGTATAATGAACGCAGCTTCTGCTAGAATCAAAGAATGGGACGACCACATAGAAGGTATAAATCAAAGATTGAAATTAGAAGATCCTGATGCTACACTATCAACGACAAACAATTCTGAGCAACCCCGAAGAAGTTTCAGAACCCAGATTCAGCTCCGAAAATTTAACGGAGACATTGAATCTTGGTTTAATTTCTGGGAAACATTCAGAACCTTAATTCATGAAGATCCATCTATGCCTTTTGTTGAAAAATTCAACGCACTTGAATCAGTATTAGAAGGTGATGCAAAAACACTAATTGAAGGACTAAAAATGGATGAAACGGGTTACGAAACGGCGATCGAGCTGTTAGTAAAAAATTATGGAGATGATCAAAAGCAAATTAGAGACTTAAATAAAGAATTAATGAACCTTCCAAATAGTAATGATTATGAAGATGATGAAAAATTGTATTTAAGAATCGAAAAAATTTGCAGACAGTTAACAGCCCTAAATCAGAATATTGGTCAAGCACCATATTATATGATGATTGAAGGCAAATTATCTGCAGAGGTACTCGATAAATATTTTACAATAAAGGATGCTGAAGACGATAATAATTGGAACACAGATAAATTTCGAAAAGCTTTTGGAAGAGCAATTAATCAAATAAAAGGAAGACACGAAGCACGAAATATAGCAAGAAGGTCAAAACCCAATACCCGCACACAAGAACCGACAATGAATTTTTTAGGAAGGGTAAACACAAGTCCAAATTATAGGTCACCTGATCGAAGGTGGAATCAAAGACAAAACACCATCCGGACAGAAACCCGACCATTTCAAGGACAAAGAAGAAATGAAGACCAAAGTCAAAGTCCAAAACAAGAACGAAGTAAATTTAGAAACGGATCACCATATAAGGCACGCTCTAACAGCAGCTCGTCAGAACACAGTTCAAAGAGTCCAATTAGGTATCCATGTGAATTATGTGAACAACTACACCCCCCAATACACTGTACAAAATACAGAACAGCGAATGAACGTCGCGATCGAGCGATGAAAAAAGAATTATGCTTTAGATGTTTAAAAAGAGGACACTATGCGAATAAATGTATGAAGCCTAAAGTATTATGTCCTATTTGCAATAGAAGCAACCACAACCAAGCACTATGCCGACACCAAAAAAGATTTTATTCGAAAAGCCCTACAAGGCAGGAACAAAAAACATTCACAACAGAAGAAGAGGAAACAATTAATTCTTCTAGCCTTCAAGTAAGCTGTACTGTAGAACCAAAACCAAGCTGTCTAACCGACAAGAATTCTAAATTCTCTGTATTAAAAATGGTAGAAGCGAAGGTATATAATCCAACAGTGCCAAAGCTTGAACAAGAAGCATTAATATTTTTAGACGACGGAAGTCAAAAGACATATATTGATGAAGAACTATCCCAACAATTAGAACTTGAAACAATAGAAGAAAAAGAAATAAAAGTCACAGGCCTAAACCAAACACCCTTAGGACAATTCATAAAACCGATTGTCGAATTCGGCGTTCGAGCTGGAAAATTCGACATTCTTCTAAAAGGAAGCACCCTTCCAAGCATTCTAGGTCGAACCAGAATATTTTTAAAGAAGGATGTAAACGAAGAAGCATTACGAAAAACGAAACTCGAAATAAATGAAAAAATAGGGAAACCACAAATATTAATTGGGAATGATTATTATAATAGATTAGAAGTCAAACCTAAGGAACAACTACCCTCTCGTTTATGGATAAGCAAAACAAAATTAGGACAAATAATAAATGGTGAAGGCAAAATAAAAATAAATCCCTCAATAAAAATGAACGAAGAATATTATTCACAAGCAACAGTAAACGAAGTGATGACAATGGAAGCCGCACCAACCGATGAAGAATTGTTAGCATTATTAAAGAAGCATGACGGAATCCAAGCGATCGGGCTTGAAGACAGTAATATAGAAAGCGACTTTGAAAGAATGAAAGAAAAAATAACATTCAATGGAAGTAGATATCAGACAGAACTATTATGGAATGAAGAAACTGCCAAGAAACTCCCAACAAATTATGACATGGCATTCAGTCAACTACTGTCTAATTTAACAAGGCTTCGAAAAACACCTGAACTATTAGAAATGTATCATCAAATAATTACGGAACAATTAGAAAAAGGTCTAATTGAATTAGCGGACCCAATAGAAGACAAGTACACAGTAGGAAGAAAAATTCACTATCTTCCACACCACCCGGTATTTAGACATGACAAAGAACATACGAAGGTTCGAATCGTCTACAACGCAGCAGCCAAAAGAGGAAATGCTCCATCACTGAATCAATGTCTTGAGAAAGGACCCAAATTGTATAACGATTTGGCTGGCATCCTTCTCAGAGCGAGACTGAAAACAATTTTAGTCACATGTGATATAGCAAAAGCATTTCATATGATTGAACTAGCACCGCAAGACAGAAACGCTGTAAGATTTTTATGGGCTCAAGACCCAAAAAATCCAAAAACTCCGATCGTGGAGTATCGATTTACAAGAGAAACATTTGGAGTCATTTGTTCGCCAGCACATCTTGCATTAACAATTGACATCCACTTGAAAAAATACGACAGCCCATTAAGTAGAAGCATCGCAACCAACGCATATGTGGACAACTTAGTGGTTGGACTAAATAACAAAGACGAAATACGAAACACATATTCCGAAATCAAAAAACTTTTTGAAAAGGGAGGGATGAATGTCCGTGAATTCATCGCCAACGCCCCAGAAGAAATAAAGAAGCTACCCAAAGAAGATATCATTGATAAAGAAGATTGTAAACTCCTTGGATTAAGATGGAACATAAACAAAGACGAGTTCCAAATTAAATTCCCGACTTATAAAGAAGAAAAGGTAACCAGACGAAAGGTATTAGCGCAAATCGCCAGACCTTTTGACCCTCTCGGATTCGGAGCGCCAGCCATTCTGCCAGCGAAATTACTCCGACAAGAGATTGAACGAGAAGGAAAATTAAGTTGGGACAAAGACCTATCCCCTGCAATGACCGAAAAATGGAAGGAGCTTATGAAGCATTGGGAAGGCGCGCATTTAACAGTTCCGCGACTGGCCTGCTCGAAGGTCAAAAATTTAAAAGCAGAACTACACGTCTTCACTGATGCATCAAGTTCCGCATTCGGCGCAGCTATTTATCTGAGAGTCGAGGACGATCCATTCGATTGCAATTTAATATTTGGGAAAAGCCTAGTAGTACCTACCTCACTGCCCTCGACAAGAAGGACCATACCTTGTCTGGAGTTGCATGCAGCGATGTTAGGAACAAAATACGCCAAGTTCGTTCGTGAACAGTTGGAAAAGGAATATCCCATTGAAAGAACTATATTATGGACAGACGCAATCGACGTTATCGACTATGCCCTGAGTGAAAAGAAGCAAGATAGATTTATTAAAAATAGGGTAAACAAAATTCGAGACTACGAAATAAGGCATGTTGACGGAGAAAATAATCCGGCTGACCTCGCCTCGCGAGGAGCTACGCCAGAAGAACTTGCGTCACATAACTTATGGTGGAAAGGCCCGACGTTCTTACGACAACCTGAAGCAAAATGGCCTGAACCAAAGCGAAAATACGATCCGTCCGCAAAAAGGGAACCAAAAGAAGAAAACCCCTTGTTTGAAATGAGCCTCGCAGCGACGCAAAAACAACTACCCGAGACGCAAGACAAATTCTTGATTGACTTTACGCGATTCTCAAATTGGAATCGGCTGGTCAATTGTATGGCTTACGTTCTAAGAGCGAACGAAGCCTTTAAGAAAAAAGGACGCAAAGCCGCCTCCGCGCTCGTGCGGAGAAAAGAAAACAGGGAGATCGAATCCCTAACTGTCCCTGAAGTATCGGAAGCGGAAAAATTTATTCTAAGATGGATACAAAAGCATTACCCTCCGACTGAAGAAGAAACTAGGAATCTGAACATCATTCAAGACGAAGATCAATTACTTAGAGCGAAAGGTAGATTAGCGAACAGCGGACTCAATTTCCAGGCCAATAACCCTATCTACATCAATCATCGAGCACCTATAGTTCGACTTCTTTTAAGAAGAGCCCATTCGAACACCAAGCATGGAGGTTTAGAATTAATGAACACCTACCTCAGGCAAGAATATTGGATAACGAGAAGCCGACGAACAATCAATAATTGGCTAAGGGCAAAAGGAGCTATGAGGTGTGGAGCATGCGCTCGATGGCAAGCAAAGCCGTTTACACTCCCCAAAGCACCCGATTTGCCTACAAGTCGGACAGCAGGAAGGGCCGCATTTCAAGCAGTAGGGCTTGACTACTTTGGACCCTTTCGAGTCTTACAAGGCGAAGAAGAAATAAAATGCTGGGGAGCGATCTTTACGTGTGCTCTAACCAGAGCAGTACACCTAGAAGTCGTAACGGACTGCACCAGTGAAAAATTCCTTCTGGCCCTAACTCGATTAATTCGAAGAAGAAGGCCTCCGAAGGTAATAATTTCCGACAATGCTCCAACGTTCGTGTTGGCTAGTAAAGTGATTCAAGACCTGAACCAAGAAGAAATTAATCAAAAGAAGGAATGGCTAAAAGTAATAGCAAGTACTCGAATACAAGACTTTCTTTTACTGAATAAGATACAATGGAAATTCAACACGCCAGCCGCTCCTTGGAGAGGAGGCTTCTATGAACGGTTGATCGGAACCATTAAAAAACACTTGTATCGGACTATAGGAAAAAGAAAATTAACGCACGAAGAATTAGAAACTCTCCTGATCGAAGTCGAGAGAATCGTGAATGAAAGACCCCTAACCTATTATACTTCAGAAGAAGTAGCATACCCTTTAAGACCCATTGACATTTTAGATTGCTCAGCAGGCAATCCCTTCGACGTGCACTTGAGTCCGGAACCGGACTGGGACAACGACTATGAAGAACAACCGTCGACCAGAAGTGCATTGTTGGAGGCCCACAAGAAAGCATTGCAAAAAAGCCATAAGTTTTGGGAAACCTGGAAATCCGAAAACCTTTTGAGTTTAAGGGAAAAATGGCGTTCCAAAGATAAAGACCCCACCTTCCCCAAATTAAATCAGGTCGTACTCATGAATGAAGGTCACGAAAAATGCCCACGATCGTTGTGAAAGATGGCTAAAATAGAAGAAATCCTCTCAGGAAGAACGGTAAAAGTGAGGACACTACTATATTACCATTATTAAATTATCGATTGATTAGAACAAGAGGGCTCTGAAGAGACTGGCTATCGGGTGAGAGAAGTCAGAGAAAAAACTTTTTCTCTCACCCAATAGCCAGTCCCTTCAGGCCCTCTTGTTCTAATCAATCGATAATTTGCAAACCCAATCCTTTTGGGACTTGCGGGGTTTAAATGGAGTACTGCGGAGGCTAGGCTAAATTGTATCGTAGCGCGATTCTGGGCATTAAAGGGTATCAAACGAAGCCTGAAGCGGGGTTCGAGTGACCATTTTTCTTCCCTCTGACCATTTTATAACTTGTCTCCTTCTGACCCTTTTTCTTGTTTCCAATAAAGTCAGACGCACGAGAGATGAAATATAATTTGGAGAATAACAGACATTTAATTTAAATTTTGGCGTTATGTTTAAGGAACAGAGTTAGCTAGTTTTCGCGCGTGCGTCAACAGGGTGGAACTATATATCTATATGGACAAGATTTTTTATTGATTTTGCTTGTCCATATATTTCTATCGCTTGTTTATATATTTCTATGGGCAAGCATTTTATTAATTTTATTTGCAAATATTCTTCACAATTTTTTGTTGCAAAATTTAAAATTAATCATTTATATTTTAGGGTAAATACACCGCCACCACTCGTCACAGGAGTGGTGGCGGTGTTAAAAATTTTTTGGCGACATCTTTGGATTGATTTTATCACCCCCAAATTAAACAGGAAGATAATGGAAAGGTCGGTTATTTAATTTTTCTCCTTCCGGTCGAAAAACTGTTTCTTTTTGTTCCTCACAAATTATAGAAAATAAACGTTTTCTTGTTTCAAATGGTTATTAGAATTAATTTTAGAAAAAATTTGAAGATGATTTTAAATTATAGTCTACTTTGTCTCTTCAATATAAAATTAATTTAAATTTAAAAAATATTTAAAAAAATTATTTTTAAATTTAAAGCTGCCGATGGTTTTGCTTTAATGCAGGCAGGCATTGAATTGATAAAATTAAGAACAAATGGTAGACAATTTAGAAGAATATTTTCTTTAGATGCAGACATGGTTAATTAATTTAAATAATTTGAATAATAATAATTAATTTAAAGGCATATATTCGTTGGACACCTTCAAATAAAAACCCAACAAAGCTAGAAGTATTTTTATTAATTTAAATAACTAAATTAAATTTAAATTAAAGTTTCAATTGATTCAATAAAAGAAGTTCGTGTGGGGGGTAATTCTGAATTACTTAGATTAACTAAACCAATTGTTTCTCCTGAAATCGATGTTTGAGTTTATTTTAAAAAATAATTTTAAATAAAAATTAAAATAGGAAGAATGTGCATTTTCTATAATTCACGGGGATGAACATGAATGTTTAGATTTAATTGCTTTAAAAGCAATTGATGCTAATATTTGGGTAAATAAATATTTATTTTTTAAAAAAATATTTTCTTTTTTTTAAAGATTACAGGGTTAATTGCTTTAGCAAGTGAAGGAGTTCCTTCAATTAGAGGAAGGGATGTTAGTGGAAGTTTATATTCTCCAGCAAATTTACGTGAAAGATGGATGTCTTCTTCTTTTAAAGAAATTGATCAAGATGTTTTTTAATTAAATTAATTTTTAAAAAATAATTCTTTTTTAAAGATAAAAGGTTATACAAGTGAAAAATCGGCTGTTAGGCTTATTCATTAAATAATCGTTTACTCATTTCGAGAATTAAACAAAAAGTAAGGAAGCAAGTGATTTAGATGAAGCACAAAAAGGAAGAATTGATGAAACTCATTTTATTGATGTTTATAAAGATTTGGCTACTAGACCTGAAATTTATTTTTTTGATGGTTAGATATGCAAATAAAGATTATTCAAATATAAATGTATGTTTATATTTACAATTTGAATTTTTTTGGGTGCCAAATGTAAATTTTCCCAAATAAAATAATAATTAAAAAATAATAATAAAATAACAAATTTTTCAAATAAAATAATTTTTCCCAAATCAATGTGAACTTGCAACCTTCAATTCTCTAATTTTATTCTGTGAACTGTTGGTTTTAAGAATTTTTTGTTGGGGGAGAATAATATAATTGTCATGTTTTACCCATTTCAGAATTAACTTTAAGACATTTTTTCGAGTAATTCGAATTTTTTCCTTTGTTGAGAAAATTTAATTATTTAATTACAGGATTTACAATTATTTCTCGAGACAGAGCAAGGCCTTTCAGAATAACAACACAATTTTGTGAAGATTTAATAGATCAATGTGAACCTTCAAATGAAGCTAGAGAATTAAATATAATGACTGTAGACGGATTCTCTAAATTTTTTCATACCCAAACAAATTCTTTTTTGACCCCTTACATTTAAATGCTTGCCAAAATATGGAAAAACCTTTTACTAATTATTTTATTTCAACATCTTTTAATACTTATTTGGTAGAAGATCAATTAAGAGGGCCGAGTTTTTTAGATGGATATACCTCTGCATTAAAAAGAAATTGGTAAATTAATAAAAATAAATATTTGTTTGAATGAAGAATCTCGTTAAAATATTAACTAAAAATAAATTAAATTGTTTTTGTGATTAAAACAAAAAAGCCTTAAAAAAGTAATACTCTTTCCAAAATAAAAATAATAATTTTAAAGTCGATATATTGAATTGGATATTTGGGAACCCGATGATGATGGGTGACAATGCATGTGAGTTAAAAATTTTTTAAATATGAGTTAAAAAATTTTTTTTGAAAATTTATTTTTAAAAAAAGTATTTTCAAAAAATTTTCCATTAGTTTAAATATTTTGTTTAAAATAATTAGTCATTCATTTTCTAGATAGAAAATTAGATAAGAAAAGTTAATGCTCAAAGCGGCAAATTCCTAACCCTTTCAAATGGACAAGCATTTACATTTAATTAAACAATAGTAAATGCTTGTCCATTTGAAAGGGTTAGGAATTTGCCGCTTTGAACATAAAACTTTGTCAAATCTAATTTCATTTAACATTTTTTTAAAAATATTTAAATAAATTCATTTAATATTATTATTTAAAATTGTGTATTTTCTGAAAGTTTTTATGTCCAAATTAAATTTATTATTAAAAATTTAAATTATTAAAAATTTAGATTTGAAAAATAAATGTCTTCCAATTCAAATTCAAATAGAAAAAGAAAGAAATCCCCTGTGCCACCAAATCAAGGAAGTAAAACTTCTGCTGTAGCTACCCAAAATAATTTACAACAACAATTAATTGTTCAACGTGTGCAAACTACTAGTAATCAGACAAATGTAGCAGGGGGACAACAAAATCAACAAATAATCCAGACAACTAATTCTGCGGAACGACAAATACTGGAACAGGAGGTAAAAATTTTTAGAAAATTTACAATTGAAAAAAAAATATTTAACCTTTACAAATTATTACAGATAGCAGAAAAAAGAAGAAACCGTGCTATAACTCAACCTGAAAATTTACATTTGTTGAACTTGATTGATCCTGCCACCAATTTAACAAATACGGACGTACTCATGTTGCGATGGCAAAAAGATTATATTTTTGGGTAATTTTTGTTATTCCGAAAAAAATTTTTTTGAATTTTTTTAGAGAGCTAAAAGGGGTCGTGGTGTTTGTCAAACGCGCCCCTACAAGTAAAAACGGGTGGGATAGAGGAGACTTAATCGTACAGTTGGGACAAGAACACGAAAAAGAACGTGTGGCAGTTTTTGGCTGGAATGAATACGCTGGGATTTTGGCAACTGCAATCTTAATGATGTACTAATTTAATATTTAAAAAAATTTTGTTTTAAAATTTCAGGTAGTTGTAATGAGAAATTTGATCGTTGTTCCGGAAGACTCTGTACGTGTGAAATGGTCCGGATCAATTGAGTTCAAATTGAAGTTTGTGAAAGGTTCTACTATGAATATTGAAGGGCGTGGTCAAATAAATGTTAATCAAGACGCGGTGATTAGCAGAGGTAATTAACACTTATTAAAAATAATCATACTAAAAATTTTTTGTTGAAAAATTTAAATTTTTTAAATGAAAATTTTGTTTAAAATTTTAATAATAAATTTTATTCAGGAGGTCCTTCTACTTCAACTGTCGCTGTTCCTCATCCAAATTCAAATACTGAAACTTTACAGCTGGTAGATAGATCTTCGAATTCAATTAATAATGGGTCTAATCCAGATCCAGAAATTGAATACGTGAGTTCATTTTAATTGTATAAGTTCTAAGTTACCTTTTCCCATTTAAAACATGTACGATTTGAATTTTAAAAAAAACAAACTTTTAACCAATCAAAAAAATATAAATTTTATATGTTTTCAAATTAAATTTTAAAGGATTTTACGGATTTATAATTTGTGTATACGAAAAGAATTTAAGATTAAATGAAAAGAATTTAAAGAATTATTAATGAAAAAAAATTATTTAAAATATTGTTTTGAATATATTTTTAATTACATTGAATTTACTTCTAATTAATTTAAATTTAGTTTGAGTTTGTTTCAATTTAATTGATTTTAAACGGAATAAATTTTTTAAACTTGATTGAATACGAAATTTTTTAATCTACAAAAAAATTTATTTACGAAAAAAAAAGTTTTGATTCACGCAATCCTTTATAGAAAAAATATTAGTTAAAAAAATTGTTTGCTTCGAAAATGTATTTATGAAAATTTTTGATTTTAGAAATATGTTTACTAAACGAAATTTTTGCTATTCTAATTTGTTAACGAAACGAAATTTGTTTACGATTTACAAAATATGTACGAAATTTGTTTACTAAACGAAATTTGGTTGTATTCGAAATTTGTTTACTATACGAAATATTTCTTTACGAAATCTGATTAATAAACGAAATTTTTTGATGTACTAAGTTTGTTTTCTAAACGAAATTTGTTTACGTAATTTGTTTACTAAATGAATGTTGTTTACTATGTGAAATTTTTTACGAAATTTGATTACTAGGCTTACGAAATTTGTTTACTATACGAAATATTTCTTTACGAAATTTTCAGATTCACAAAAAAAAATGTTTACAATACGAATTTGTTTACTATACAAATATTTCTTTGCGAAATTTGATTACTAAACGAAATTTTTTGATTTAATAATTTTGTTTATGATACGAAATTGGATTACTAAACAAAATATAAATTAACGAAATTTGCTTACTAAACGATTTTTTTTTACGAAATTTGATTATTAGGTTTACGAAATTTGGTTACAATAAGAATTTTGTTTACTATACGAAATATTTCTTTACGAAATTTGATTAATAAACGAAATTTTTTGATGTACTAAGTTTGTTTACTAAACGAATTTTAAATTTACAAAATATGTGCTCTACGAAGTTTGATTAATAAACGAAATTAGTTTAAGAAATTTGTTTACTTTACGAAATTTTTGTTTTACGAAATTTGATTACTAGGTTTACGAAATTTGGTTACAATACGAAATATTTTTTTTGCAAAATTTGATTAAACGAAATTTGTGCTTTATAAAATTTGATTACTGAACAAAATATTTAGATTTACGAAATTTGTTTACTAAACGAATTTTAATTTTACGAAATATTTGCTTTACGAAATTTGATTAATAAACGAAATTTTTGTTTTACGTAATTTGATTACTAAACGAAATTTGTTTACAATTCGAAATCTGTTTACTATACGAAATTTTTTAGATTTACGAAGTTTGTTTACGCTACGAAATTTGTTCACTAAACGAAATTTGTTTACAATTCGAAATCTGTTTACTATACGAAATTTTTTAGATTTACGAAGTTTGTTTACGATACGAAATTTGTTTACAATTCGAAATCTGTTTACTATACGAAATTTTTTAGATTTACGAAGTTTGTTTACGATACGAAATTTGTTCACTAAACGAAATTTGTTTACAATTCGAAATCTGTTTACTATACGAAATTTTTTAGATTTACGAAGTTTGTTTACGATACGAAATTTGTTCACTAAACGAAATTTGTTTACAATTCGAAATCTGTTTACTATACGAAATTTTTTAAATTTACGAAGTTTGTTTACGATACGAAATTTGTTCACTAAACGAAATTTGTTTACAAATTTTTAGGTTTACGAAATTTGGTTACAATACGAAATTTGTTTACTATACGAAATATTGCTTTACGAAATTTTTTGATTTACGAAATTTGTTTACTATAAGAAATATGATTACTAAACGAGATTTTTTTGATTTACGAAATTGGTTTACTATACGAAATATGATTAATAAACGAAATTTTTTGATTTACTATGTTTGTTTACGATACGAAACTTTTTGATTTACCAAGTGTTTCATTAAACGAAATTTGTGTACGAAATTTTTGATTTACAAAATTTGTTTACTATACGAAATTTTTGTTTTACGAAATATGATTACTAAACAAAAGTTTTTGCTTTACGAAACTTGTTTACATTTCGAAATTGGTTTACTATACGAAATTTGATTACTAAACGAAATTTTTTGATTTACGAAGTTTGTTTAGAATACGAAATTTTTTGTTTTACGAAGTTTGTTCACTAAACGAAATTTGTTTAGATGCACGGAATTTTTGAATAAAAAATAAAATCAAATCGTACATGTTCCTTTTAAGTATAATATAGGGGGAAATTATATATTAATCTAAACTCACTAGCTTTTTTTCTAAATCAAATGTAGAAAAAAATGATAGAGCGTTGGAAACTGTTCATAGGATTCATGTCTTCCAATATCAAAAATCATTTGATTTCGAAGATTTGATTCCTACGGACATATCCAATACTCTAGCTTTTTTCTACAATTAATTTAGAAAAAAAGCTAGGGGGCCCCTCTTTTTTAGATATCGCCAGCACCTTCTCCCGTCATTTCAGAATCTGAGGCATCGACATCATCTCAAACTGATGTAAATTATAATTCTTTACTATTATAAATTTTATTGAAAATTATATTTTTATGTTTTTTATTATATAGATACAAGAAATACAACCACAATCTACTTCAATATCAGATAGACCAATTATAGATGCAGCACCACGGCCAAAGAGACCAGTCGGATACGTTAGAGTTCCCCATAGGATGATTGTTGATGAGGTATTAATTATTAAAAGAGATCATTTATGAGTATAAAATTAAAGTTGGCACGCTCTAGAATGCTTGCGCGTACATCTGCTGAATTGGAAGATACTAATGGCTTACCGGAAGGTCAGCAAATTCCGGCTGATACACCAGAAACTGCAGCAGAATATTTCAGAGGTTTTAAAACTCCAGGTGGCTTAACTGATAGGGAGATTCAAGCTAGAAAAAGGACAATTGTGCTTCTACCTACTACGTTTAAAGGAAGTGATGAGATTTGCAACTGCTGTTTGAATGGTTATAGAGCCGGGCAATCAATCATTTTTGCAAAATGTGGCCACAAATATCATCTAGACTGCTTTAATGATTTTGTAAAAAATTGGAGAGCTTGCGCTCTCTGTAGGAAGGACATGGCTACGGGTAAGAACTTATAAATTGATTAGCCAGTTCTTCCCCGTAGCCATGTCCCTACAAGCAAGAATCCGAAAATTGTGAGGATTCTTGCTTGTAGTCAAGTATCCTATGATCAAGAAGTCATGTAAATTCCGAGTGGCTTCTTGGTCATTGGATAGTTGATTCCTACGTGTTTTCCCCCTCACGTCAAAAGAATCGAGGATTTAGAATGTGTTCTTTTGACGTGAGGGTGAAAAGTTTTACATTTATTTTGAATAACGTTTTTTAATAACCACACCACTTTTTTAAGAAATATTTTATGGTAAAAGTTGTCAACCACTTTTTGTTTCTTATTAGCTTAACCACATTGAAAAAAAATTTTGTTGATATTATGTGTAAATAAAATTAGTGATTTACATTGATAGCAAATATTTCTACACCTTAATTATAAATTCAATATTTATATTTGCCATCATTGTAAAAGCAAATTAAATTATAATTCTTATTATCTCTGTAAACATTAATAATTTAAATTTCTATAATAGTTACTCTTTGTCATTATTGTGTGAGACCGAAAGTCTGTTGCAGGTATTAAAATTGGGCTAATAATAGAGAGTAATTATTAGAGAAAAAAATACAATTACCATTATTTTACATCCACATTAAAAATATTTTATTATTAAGTTTCTTGTTTTTAAAAAATATTTACAATTTTATTTTCCTGCCTTTTATCTAATTTATTTTATTGCCTTCTTTTTCAACAATTTTTTAGAATATATACTAATATCATTATTAATTTTAATATCAACAATTCACTAATTATTTTTTTAACGATTTTTTTTTTAAATTAGAGAATTGTTGTATTAAATTTTACTATAATTTGTAATTTTTTACCTTAAATAAATTTTAATTATTTTATTTCTTTAATTATTAATAGACAATTAAAAAAAAGTTTAGGTATGAGATTCTAGGATATTTAGATTTTTTTTTACATTCTAGATTTTATTTACTCATTCAAATTTATGTTAAATAAAAACCCATTTTTTCTTAAATAAAGCTTTAATATTGTCCTTTAATATAGCGGCGCATGCTAAAAAATTAGATTTTTTTAAAAAATAAACTATTAGTCTAAATTTAGATTGAAAACATGAGAAACTACTTTGTTATTGAAAGAATAGAGCCATTCGCCTCCCAATCACGAAATACTCGTGGTGAAATCGCCCACATCAGATTTAATAATTTGGCCGATCACCCCCGACCTGACTTGGCTCTAACTACACTTATTGAACAACTTTTGGATCGGGTGCTCACCGGAAGACCAGCACCTCTCCGCGTTGGTCTTCAGGTCCAACCACCAAATTTCCACCACCCATTTACCGTGCCCCTCCGGCCATTAGAACAAAATAATGCAGCAGCATTAGCCGCAGCTATAGAGAGATTGAACGAAATATCCCAGGCTGGGATAGACCTTCTCTCAGGGACAACAACAACAAAAGTTGTAGCTGTATGGCCTTTAACTGGGCAGCGCACTAATAATCCAGCATCACATTCGGGTAGGTTCATACTAGTCTTACATTTCTCAAATAAATGTAAGGCAGTCATGTTCCTACAGGTAGCTGCGATATGGACCAAGAACATGCAGTGTCTTCTCGATGTCGTTCAATTGTGCGCGTCCACAATCCAAACGACCGCTACTGTCTTGCTCGTGCAGTAGTTATTGGACTTACAAAAATTCGACTTGTTGATCAAGGCGATGCTAATAATGGAGCAGCTCATTTTAGAGCTTTTTGCCAACAACAAGAACGTCATTTGATTTTTTTAAACTACTTAATGAATACAGCCGGACTTCCATATGGATTACAGGCATTATTTACTTACATTTTTTTTATATATTTACGTAATATAGGAATATTCGCTTGAACATGTAGCGATTCTCCAAAGATGGTTAAATCAATATTATGGAGAAGGGCACACTCGTATTGTTGTTTTCCAAAAAGAGCAACAGTACCGGATTGTGTTTAAAGGAGAGGGAAGAGCAGCTCGTTACAATTCATGTCTGCTCTTGGAGAATCGTCACTACAACTACATTGGTCGCCCTGAACAACTTTTGGGAGTCAAACGTTATTGTATTGACTGTGAACGATCAGTGACACGTTGGAGTCATTGGGCTGGGTGCACTGTAGTTTGTAGATTTTGCATGCGGTCAGGTCCCGAATTTCCATGTCAAGTAATATCAAATTAAATTGTAAATTTTTTTATCGTTATTTATTAGGAAGAAGAAAGAATCCCTTGTCAAAACTGTGGATTCATTTTTCCACGCCGATCATGTTATGACTACCATCTAGTCAATTCTGCTCCTCTAGAAATGGTTCGACGCGATACACGTAATTTTGCATCCATTTGCCAAATGCGTCGTATTTGCTCAAATTGCCATCTCATAATTTATGCTCAACAAGCACACGAATGCCAACAACAACGGCAACAACCTCAAATAAATTGTAAAATGTGTAATGGCCCTCACACAGAGGACCAGCCATGTTTTATTCAGCCATTAAAACCTGATGAGGATGAACAAGATAATAATGAAAATAATAATGAACAACAACAGCAACAAAGAACAAGAAATCATCGACAACCAATTCGTCTTTGTTTTTTTGATGCTGAAACAAGTCAGGATGAACCTGTACAAATAAGCCAAAATATCAATGGCTACAGGCATGTACCTCTTCTGATTATTGCCGAGGTTAATTTTTTAAATTAAATTTGAATATATTTTTGTTTATAGGTTATTTGTGAAGCCTGTATACGGGCTAATATTCGTATTGAAGATGTTGGTCAACGTGCTCAGGGATGTTTTTGTGGGACTCCAAGAGGAGAACGATGGCGTAATTGGTGTTCCCCACCCTTCAGAAATGCTCCAGGCGACAACACCGCCTTTCCAGATAACATCACATTCAATCATCGGCGTATGTTTTTCCATTCTTTTGACAACGCTGAAGATAATCCTGTGGACCAATTCTTAGACTACCTACTTAATCACGGTTCACAACATATGCTTACTATCTGCATAGCTCATAATGGAGGAAAATATGATTTTCATCTATTATTGGAAGCTCTACATAGGCGCAGCCACCCGCCAACAAGAATATGCACAACAGGACTCAAAATTTATTCAATGAGTCTTGGAGGGAACAACCAAAGAAAAGTGCTTTTCAAGGACTCGTTAAACTACTTTTTCTGTGAGCTTGATGCACTTACAAAGGTTTTTGCTTTGCCAGAAGATTTGGCTACTGCAAAGCCCTTCTTTCCTTATCTATTTATTCAACGACAACACCTTCATTATAGGCTAAGAGGGCTCCCTGAAATTCAATATTACCAACCTGAATATAAGAAGGCTGAAAAGAGGGAAAAGCTCATTGAATGGTATACACAACAAACATCTGTCCAAACAACAAACTTTCAGCTTCGTGAACAATTAATTCAGTATTGTGTAAATGATGTGGCGATTCTGCGTGAGAGCGTACTCCGATTTCGACAACTTATTGGAGAAAACACAAAGAATCTCGACCCATTTTTGACGGTATCAACAGCAGCAGGACTCGCTTTAACAACAATGCGTCGCTGCTTTTTACCAGAAAATTGGATTGTTCACTCGCCTGAAGGAGGTTATTTGAGAGGACGACGAGCTTCAGCCGAATCGCAGCGATACATCCGCTTTTTTGAACTACAAAATCCCGAGTCTGCAGGTCAAATTCAACATGCCCAATGGGCAATTGGAGAAGCTCATGTTGAAGACTGCGGATATAGACTCGATGGATTATGGCAAAGATCGCCTCCCCTTCGCCCTTTGGCAATTGAATATATGGGGTGTTACTATCACGGTATAAAGTTTTCATAAAACTTTTTAATATTATAAAATTTTAAGGTTGTCCCAAATGCTTCCCAATACGTGACCAACGTTTAGCAGCTGGTCGTACAGCTGAAGAGCTTTTTGAGAGAACCCAACAACGCCTATGGGAATTGGAGCATCAACATGGATATCAACTACATGTTGTCTGGGGACATGAGATTAAAGAAAAGCTGATTAACAACACACAATTACAAAGAAAATGGTTTGAAATTGACTGTGTTCGGCCTATGGATCCCAGAGAAGACTGCCTTAGAGGAGGAAGGACAGAACCCTTCAAACTTCATCACATGTGTGCTGAAGATGAAGAGATCCTCTACATCGATATTGTATACTTGAATATAAATTTTAAAGAAATTATAGAAAAATTTAAGGTAAGTCTCTACCCTTATGTTATGAAGGCAAGATCTTTTCCTATTGAACATCCAAATGTCTTGACTCGTGAAACATTGCTTCTTCCACCAAACAACCCTTTGCCTTGGACAACTCCTGAGCATAACATCTATAAGGGTTTGCTTCTTGTTCGAGTTCAACCTCCGAACTTTATAAATGGAAATCTTCCACCAGTTCTTCCATACAGAACTCATGATGGTCGCCTCACTTTTCCCCTTTGTGCTAAATGTGCAGATAATAGACAACAACGGCCTTGCACACATGGAGAACGTGAACGTTCCTGGCTGACTGGCTATACTCACGTAGAGCTTAATTATGCCTTGGAACGTGGGTATAAAGTCGTCGACATTTATGAGGTAACAATTTAATAATCATAACTAACTTAATTTAATATTTAGGTTTGGAATTATGAAAAATGGGATCCGAATCTATTTCGATCCTATGTCAACACATTTATTGGATTGAAACAACAGGCTAGTGGTTGGCCAGATGGTTGTGCCTCGGAGTTGGACCGAGCTGAATATCTAGCTGAATTTGAGCGAGTTGAAGGTATCTTCCTTGACCCAGCGAAAATTGAAACAAATCCTGGTTTGCGAATGATTGCGGTAATTTATTTTAGAAAAAAATTAAAAATATATTAAATTTTCAGAAATTATTAGCAAACTCGCTCTGGGGAAAATTGGCTCAACGAGTTTGTGGAACTGAAGTGCGATATGCCAAAACACCGGCAGAGTTCCATCA